TAAGGCGGGGGGTACACCAGTACTATAGTACCTACAGAGAGGTATTGCCAGTACACACAGTACCTTGCGGGGAGGTACTACCATAACAAAAAGTACCTGAACTAGCTACTCCCTTTTCCCAACAGTACCAGACATGGGGGTATACCATTAAAACACAGTCCCAACGACAGGGAGGTGTACCAGCACACACACTAGGAAAATGGGGACTCCCAGTACACACAGTACCAGAGGGGGTGGTACTACTAGTACACTCAGTACCATAAGGTGGGTATCCCATCACACATACAATAAGGGGTGGTACTACCAGTACACACAAAACCATGACAGGGGGGGACTACAATAAAACACAGACCTTGACAGGGAGGTACTCCCATACCACAGTCCCATTCGGGGAGGTACTCCAGCCCCAAGTCCATATCAGGGGGGTACTACCAGTAACTCAGTACCATACAGGAGTACTACAGACCCACAGTACCAAGACGGGGAAAAGTGCTTCCATCCCGTGACAGGGGGTACTCCAAAAACAACAGTACCATGAAGGGGGTACTACAGTACATACAGAACCATGACAAGGGGGATACCATAACACAGTACTATTCAGGGGGTACTCCATTACACACTACTATTCGGGGAGGTACACCATACATACAGTACCAGAGGGAAGTACTACCAGTACACACTACCAAAAGGGGAGGACTAAAGTAAAACACAGACATTCAGGGGGTACACCAGTACACACAGTACTATGTCGGGGGTCACCAGTACACACATCCCATGACGGGAAAAAACACCAGTCATACAGACATGTCTGAGAGGTACTACCAGTAACACACAGTACCATGACGGGGAATAACCAGTACAACATACCTAGGGAGGTACTACCATACACACAGTCATTCAGGGAGGTACTACCATACAACAGTATATGTCGGGGAGGTGCTCCAGTACACACAGAAACCATGACGGGAAGTACTCCCAGAAAACCCACACAGTACCATAAGGGAAGTACTCCGTACACACGTACAATTTCTGGGAGGTATACCATACACCAGTCCCATAAAAGGGAAGTATACCAGTACACACAAACCAGAAGGGGGTACTCCCCAGTACACACAGTACTAGTCAGGGGGGGTACTACCTACACACAGTACCATGACAGGGAAGTACTACCAGACACACAGAACCAGAGGGGGAGGACCCAGTACCACTTACTATGTTGGGGAGGTGTACCGTCACACAGTACCTGACAGGGAAGTATCCCAGTACCACAGTAAAAGACAGGGAAGTACACCAGTACCCCACAGTACCATGACGGGGAAGACTACCAGTACACACATACTAGTCGGGAGGTACTACCAGTACACAAAAGTCTATGTCAGGGAGGTATTACCAGTACACACATACTATTCGGGAGGTCACCAGTAAACACATACAGTGGGGAGGTACACCATACACACAGTACTATGTCAGGGAGGTACTACCGACACACAGTTCCAATACATTGAGGTTTCAGTTAGTGAGGTTGAAGTTTACTGCATCAGATGGTAGGTTTTGTGATGTTACAAATATCTGGGGATCATGATGGCTTGTTTGGGTTTTTTTTTTAACAACAAAGTAATTAAAGACAAAGAATTAGACACATTGCAACATTTGGGTATTTTTTTTGTAGACGTTTCGCCCTCCGTGGCTTTATCAGTCAATTTTATTGTGTATGTGAATTATAACTAAAGGGGGGTAATCAGTCCTCAGTTTGGGACTAAAGAGCGCCGTTTCTTGTGAATCTGACGCTCCTGCAGAACAATGCTTTATACTGGCATCTGCCCTAGTAGTAAGCGTATGGACCCAAATGTACGGAACAACGACCTACTGGATACGACTACTGGCACCGAGTACGGGACAACGACGTCGGACACCGCGTACGGGGCAACGACGCTGGACACCATCGCACTGGACAGTGGTTTACTGGACACCCTCGTACGGACACCCTCGTACTGGACAACCACGTACGGACACCGTCGTACTGGCACCGCGTACGGGACAACCAGTCGTACTGGACCCGTCGTAGGGCCAAAAACGTACGGGACAGAACTTTAGGGGACACCGTCGTACGGACAAAAACGGCGGAACCGTCGAAAAGGACACCGTGCTGGACAACGACTACGGGGATCCGTCGACTGGACACCGTCTACGGGACGCCGTCGTATGGAAACCGTCGTACGGACACGTGGTACTGGACACTGGTACGGGCACCATGGTCTGGACACCGTGTACGGGACCCGCGTACGGACACCGTGACTGGACACCGCGTACTGACACCGTCGTACTGGAACCGCCCGACTGGACCGCCCCTACTGGACAACATTAATTTTAAACTTTTTTCACTACCTTAACTCTCCCCCTCTTACGTTTTTATCTTTTAAAAAAGCAAAACCAAATTTGGGGAACATTTTTTTTTCCAATATTTTTTTGCCCGGGTTCTAGATCCTAACATGAAAAAACTAACCCACAAAAAAATGATTTTGGTTTCAGAAACCTGGAATTTTCAGAATTTTTTCAGCTTTTCAGGAGCGCGAGGAATAAATTTTATGAAGCTTTTAGCGTTAAAGCGCTGTACATATATATATATATATATATATATATATATAATATATATATATATATATATATATATATATATAATATATATATATATATATACCTGGAGAGGGTTTCGGGGGTCAACGCCCCTGCGGCCCGGTCTGAGCCCAGGCCTCATAGTGGATGATGGTCTGAGCAACCAGACTTACCGCTGGCCACACGGAAACCGACGTACAAACTACTGACTTTAGGTGCCTGTCCAGTACCTTCTTGAAGACAGTCAGGGGTCTGTTGGTAATCCCCCTTATGTGTGCTGGGAGGTAGTTGAACAGTCTTGGGCCCCTGACACTTATTGTCTCTTAACGTACTCATGGCGACCCTGGTTTTCATTGAGGGAATGTTGCAGTTTCTGCCGAGTCTTTTGCTTTCATAGGGAGTGATTTTCGTGTGCAAATATGGTACTAATCCCTCTAGGATTTTCCAAATGTATATTATCACGTATCTTTCTCGCCTGCGTTCCAGGGAATACAAATCAAGGGACTTCAACCGTTCTCAGTAATTAAGGTGTTTTATCGTATTTATTTATTCCATGAAGGTTCTCTGTACACTCTTCAGGTCAGCAATTTCACCTACCTTGAAAGGCTGTTAGTGTGCAGCAATATTCCAGCCTAGATAGGACAAACGATCTGTAGAGAGTTATCATGGGCTTGGCTTCCCTAGTTTTGAAGGTTCTCATTATCCATCCTATCATTTTTCTAGGAGATGCGGTAAATACATTGTTGTGGTCTTTAAAAGTGAGATCCTCCGACATTATCACTCTCAGGTGCTTTACATTAGTTTTTCTCTCTTGTCTGGTTAGAATTTGTTTTATGCTCCGATATAGTTTGAATTTCCTCAGGTTTTCCATATCGTAGTAATTGAAATTCCTCTTCATAAGCTAAATATTGTTTTCTGTGGCCCATTTAAAGTTTCGTTTGATGTCCGCCAGGAGTCTTGCAGTGTCTTCGATGGAAGACACTGTCATGCAAATTCGGATGTCATCTGCAGATGAAGACACGGCGTTGTGGCTTACATTCCTGTCTATGTCAAATATGAGGATGAGGAACAGGATGGGGCGAGTATTGTGCCTTGTGGAACAGAGCTTTTACAGTAGCTGCCTCAGACTTTACTCTGTTTATTATTACTCTTCGAGTTCTATTTGTTAGGAAGATATAGATCCATCTACCAACTTTTCCCGTTATTCCTTTATTACGCATTTTGTGCGCTGTTACATCATGGTCACATTTGTATACTATATCTGCATTTTGTTTATCTTCTGTAGCATCCAGGACCTTGTCATAGTGGTCCAGTAGTTGGGACAGGCAGGAGCGACCTGTTCTAAACCCATGTTGCCCTGGGTTGTATAACTGATTGGTATCTAGATGAGTGGTGATCTTGCTTCTTAGAACCCTTTCAAAGATTTTTATATGGGGCGTTAGTGCTATCGGTCTGTAGTTCTTTGCTATTGCTTTACTGCCACCCCGGTGGACTGGGGCTATGTCTTATTTGAAGTGACTGTGGGATGACCCTTGTGTCTATACTCCCTCTCCATAGAATGCTAAAGGCACGTGATAGGGGCTTCTTTCAATTATTGATGAACCAGAGTTCCACGAGTCTGGACCTGGGGCAGAGTGCATGGGTATGTCATTTATTGCCTTTTCGAAGTCAAGTGGTGATAGGATAATATCAGAGATGTTTGAATCGAACAAATTCTGAGTCTTGGTCATAAAAAAACCATTTAGGTCGTTAACTCTCTGTCTGGTTAGCGGCTCACTAAATACTGAGTCATACTGGGACTCTAGTAAGTCACTCTCTTTCCTCTTTGTCATTTGTATAAGCCCCATCTCGTCTAAGTAGGGGCCCAGTACTGGATTTTGTTCTCGACTTAGATTTGGCATAAGAAAAGTAATATTTCGGGTTTCTTTCAATTCCTGCATTCTTCCTGCATTTCTTGTCTCCTGGAGGATTCCTCAAGCTTACGTTTTATATTTGTTATTTCGCTGACCAGTGCCTCCCTTCGTATTACAGATATACTGGCCCCTTTCAGCCACTCTGTGATTATTCGCCTTCGCCTGTGTAGGGAGCGCTTCTCTCTTTCTAGTTTACATCTTCTCTTCCTTTGCCTTGAGTGTACCTCAAGTGCCACATAGTTAATTTTCTCTCTCTCTCTCTCTCTCTCTCTCCCACACACACACACACCACACACACACATGTATAATATATATATATATATATAATATATAGTATATATATATATATATATATAATATATATATATATATATATATATATATGTGTGTGGTGTGTGTGTGTGTGTGTGTGTGTGGTGCTGAATAGTAAAATTGGTCATTTAGCAAGAACTCATTTAAAATTAAGTCCTTTCTAAAATTTTCTCTTATACGTTTTAAAGATATATTTTTTTATTTATGTTAATGTAAAAATTAATAATTTTGTACCAAAAGAACCTTAGAAAACTTACCTAACCTTATTATAACAAGCGCAATTTAATATAGCCTAATCCAACTAAATATATTTTAGATAAGTTTACAATAATTTAATAATAAACAAACACAATGAATTATATTTTTTTCGTTAGGTTCACAATGAGTTTTGCGAAAATATTGCATACACAAATTTTTGCTTGCCTTATTCGGCAAGAAGAGCGTTGCTATTTAAGCCAAAATCGCAAGATTTTTTTTTCTGTTCGGCAAGACATATATATTACTGAACGTGCAGGTGTGTCATGACTGAGTACAGGTGTGTCATGACTGAGTGCAGGTGTGTTCGACAGTTACATCCCACTCTGAGAGGAAGTAATTTCCAGCAACAGGTCCCCTGAGTGCCAGGTCTCTGGTCAGCTGGCTCAGGTCAACTCCCTCGCGACCTGACGTCTGAAGAAGGAAAACAGTGAGTGAGAAACAGTTTTAAACGCTGCATTGATAAGAGAGAGACATGTTTAGAAACGTCTCGCCTGCACAGCAAGATGTTAGGTAAGACACATATGCAACGGTTAGGTATCTTTATTTCGAAACGTTTCGCCTACACAGTAGGCTTCTTCAGTCGAGTACAGAAAAGTTGATAGAAGCAGAAGAGACTTGAAGTCGATGTAATCAGTCCATCACCCTTGAAGTTTTGAGGTGGTCAGTCCCTCAGTCTGGAGAAGAGTATTGTTCCATAGTCTGAAACAATATGGAGTTGAAGTAACAGTATGGATCCTTAAATACCGCCAGGAGGTGAGATTTAGGTCACTAGTAGAGGTAAGAATGTAATCGTTGGGAGGTCAGGTCCCTCTCAAATCCAGCCATTCTCACTAGTAGAAGTTATCCAAGTTGATTTCAGGTCTGTACCAAGATACCCTTGTGTTGCAGTGTCTGACAGAGTGAACATTAAAATGGCATATAAGGCTCCATCCTGTCACTTCAACTCCATATTGTTTCAGACTATGGAACAATACTCTTCTCCAGACTGAGGGACTGACCACCTTAAAACTTCGAGGGTGATGGACTGATTACATCGTCTTCAAGTCTCTTCTGCTTCTATCAACTTTTCTGTACTCGACTGAAGAAGCCTACTGTGTAGGCGAAACGTTTCGAAATAAAGATACCTAACTGTTGCATATGTGTCTTACCTAACAACCTGTCGGTATTTTATACCATTTTAATGTTCACAGCAGGATACAGGCGGATACATCATTCGAGACACATGTGTCTCATTCATCAATCTTGTAGGAGTTATGTACCATGTGACTATCATGTTTGTGTTTGGAAACTCTTCTTATCCGAGGCGCCAAGTATTCAAAGTAGAGTGACTGACCTGACATGATCTGGCGGAGGGTAGGCCAGCAGTGTTGGGTGGAAGGGTAGAGTGCTGCAGGTAGACCAGGAACACCAGACGGTGGTGACCTGAGTCTTGTGCAGGTCGAGGACCCTCGTACTCCACCAGTTCAGTACCTGAGACACAAACCAACAAGAACAATTTTAAAGAGACAGTTTTATCTTCATATTATTTAAGTATGTCTGAATGGGGGTTATGGCATTTAATTACGCTTCTTCCAGTAGGGACTTTCGCCCCTGGTGGGCGAGACGTCTTCACAATAAAGTGCCATAATCCGCATTGCATAGTTTTTTACAAACTGTCTGTGTACTCTGCCACAGACTGTAATACCACGTCTTGGTTAAGTAGAGAAGGGCCATCAAGATCTTTCTCACCACTAGACAGAGACCTCTAACAGATACACTGCTCTCACTGTTACGTTTTTAGAACATCCATAATCTCTCTTTAAAGAGTCACATAGCCGGCATGGCTTCCAACACCATTACTAACCTGTTAACAAAGAGGATCGCACAACTCACAGCATCCAACTCTGGTATTTGCAACAAATCCCTCCTCCAGGCTGTGGGACTGACCCCCCTCAAAACTACCTCTTCGAGGGTGATGGACTAATTACATCGTCTTTATATCTCTACTGATTCTGCTACCTCCTGTGTGGTAAGTTAGGTATCTTTATTCCGAAACGTTTCGCCTACACAGTAGGCTTCTTCAATCGAGTACAGAAACGTTGGCAGAAGCAGCAGAGATGTGCAGACAATATGATCAGTCTATCACCCTGGAAGAAGCATACTGTGTAGGAGAAAACGTTTCGAAATAAAGATACCTAACTGTTACACGTGTGTTCTGTTTATGAAGTGTACGCGAAGGAAACATCTACACGCCCCAAACATCGCATCAACGAACACAGTAACCATTACCAAAGGATGATCTAACACGCCTGCACCACACGCCGTAACATAACCATCTCACAGGCTTCTAAAGTGCCAGGCTTGTCATCAAAGAATGTGACGTACGAGGCTCACTCTCTTTAGAAGCTCCTCTCAACACTGTTGACAACATCATGGCTCAAAACATACGCTCTTTTATGATTCTGGAGATATTTGTCGAAGCAGGACACAACAATCACCTGGATCCACACTCCAGCCCCTACACCACCTCGCACACTATACATGTACGCCCTGTCTTTTTATTTTCTGTATTGAATTAATATAGTCACTGGTGATTGAAAGAGTCTCCTTAAGGTCCGAGTTACCACATAGTGGAGAAATACAGAGTTCAATCACTGGTGCATGTGTGTTGGGAACGTTTGGATGGTGGGTCCTCAGTTATTCCTCATTTTGAGTTATAAGAACTTAAGAAGGGAGTGAGAAGTGCTATGGTGATGCCAACAATATGTGGAAAAAAGATACTTATGTATAGTTCAAGATATTTATTATAAGAAACGTTTCGCCACGAGTGACGTCTTCATTAAGACTGAAGAAGTCACTCGTGGCGAAACGTTTCCTGTAATAAATGTCCTGAACTGTACGCAAGTGTCTTCTTCCACATAAGACTGGAATAATTCTGCAGTAGGCTTACTGGTCCATACTAGACATGTCTAACTCACACCCACACTCATTCCATTCTATTTTTAAAGCTACCTTAAGTTCTCGCTTCAGTTTGGTCCAGTCGTCAACATCACCATTATTAAAGCGGTGCAGCAGTGATTTCCTTACTGTCTAAGCCTAAATTTCTCCAATTTGAACCCATTTCTGCTAATCACGTCTTGGCTTGATAAGATACTTCTAACACGTTATTTATATCCCCATTTATTCCTGCCTTTCATTTGTACACCAGTTGTATCGTCCATCATACTCCAGAGAGCGCAGACATAGTGCGCTCAGTCCATCCTTGTAGGAGATATATATGTCTAATACATGGGATTAACTTCGTCTGGTATGTTTGCCAGCACATTTATGTCCTGACTAAGGATATATAAAGCTGAAGTATAACTTGAAGACTCGTGTTATTTACATTTCTTGATATGAAACCAAGAATTCCATTAGCTTTATTAACATTTATTCACTGTTGTCTTGGTTTAGATTACCAGAACTCATAAATCTTTTTTCGCATTCAGTGTGATTAAGATCTACATTGTTATATTTATAAGTGTCATGGACATTTTATTTTCCCGGAATTAGGATCAAACTTTTGTCTGCATTAACCTGCATCTGCCACCTCTCCAGCCATTGCTTCAATGTATTCAGATCTTCCTGTAGCACTCAGTCCTCTTCAGAATTTATTTGACGGCCTATTTTAGTGTCATTGGAAAACTTGTTTATATCGCTATTTATCCCCTTATATACGTTATTTATGTTTATTGTGAATAAAGTGCTCAGCACTGACCCTTGTGGAGCACCGCTTGTGACACTTCCCCACTCTGATTTCTCCTCATTTGTACAACGTCTTTGTTGCCTGTCAACCACTCCTCTGTACAGGAGGTTTTCCTTTCTATTCCTTGTTTCTTCAACAGTCTTCTGTGTGGAACTGTATCAGAGTTCTTATTGGAGTCAATATTCACAATATCGGATTCCTTAACATGATCTACCGCCTCAAATACCTTAGTGAAAAAAGTAAATTCGTAAGACAAGAACGCGCCTTTGAAACACTGGCCGAGATTCACTTATTATCTTTCAAGGTGGGTTTGAATTGCTTCTGCAGTTGTTGATTCCATCAATTTTCCCCACACTGGAGGTTACCCTGATAGGTCCTTAGCTTCAAATTACTGACTAATCTTCTGCTTTGTAGACAGGAATCACATTTACCATTTTCCACTTATCCTTCATTATACCTGTTTTTAGTTATATGTTTAAAAAACTTGCTAATAGTTTGTTAAGTTCTTCTTTACATTTCTTTACAAGCCTTGAGAGCAGTTCATCAGGATCCTGGGTTTGGTTTGGTTTTAATCTGTCTACTTGTCTGAGAACTTTGTCACTGGTGACTTGGATCTTCCTTAACTTATTTTCATCATGACGTATCTTTTTATTTTTGAAATTTAACAATTATTTTCCTGTGTAAAAACTGAGAGGAAATAAGTGTTAAAGATTATACACATTTCTTTGTCACTTAAAGTGTGCTGACCTCAGCAACTTTTAAGTGGGCCAATCGTCTAATTCAGTTCAATCTTCCCAGTAATCGTCCCAGTAATCTCAGTTATCTTCCCCATAATCTTCTCAGTAATTTTCCCAGTAATCTTACTACTGTATCCTGTATACCATAAATAAACTTTTGGGTTGGTCTTCCATTCTCTTACCACTTTAATTTGATAATCTCTTTTGGATCTTCTTATTGAATTTTTCGTGTCTCTCTTTATTTTTTATTTTTTTTTTTTACTCGCCGGTATTCTCCCGGCCCGGGTCTTTTCCAAGTAGTGGTGACCCGGCCTTGGCTCCTATCTGGGGAGTGTCTCGAGACTTAAGTCTCCCATGGGAGGAGGTACAAGTACCCCCTCATCTTTGGGACCAACTGTCCCCAGGACTAGCCACATTCCCCGCCCTCACGGGGCTCGTAGAGAGAAGCTAGGCCTCTGGTCTGCCATCTGCCCCGCCCCAAAGGGGCTCGTGGGGATGGCAGTCTTGTGAGCTCTCTTTAAATGAAAATATTTGTTTCTGAAGTGTCACTCTCTGGTGAGTCGCCTCTCAGTGTCTCTCAGTTGACTCAGGAGATGTTGGAGTTCTTTATTCATCCATTGAAGGTCATCTTTATTTGATTTTTTTTCCCTATATGGAAAAATAAGTTTCCTAAGCTGCTTGAACTATGCTTTGAAAAAAGTCACAGTGACCAGCATCTGCTCCATCCCGCTCCACAGATTGTCTTCGGTCAGGTCACATCAGCTCACTCTACCGGGATAATCTCTTTGCAGCAGAAAATCGGCTGCTCGGAAGTCAGGGGCCTTGACTTTATTAAAATATTAAGGTAATTCCATAAAATACCGAAGCTAATTTGTGATATTATCTCTAGATTCAAAATTAATCTTAAGATTATTGATTTGAGAATCCTTGTTTGCAAGAGCAAAGTTAAATAAGTTATTTCCTTTGGCTGGCTCTTGTCACAAACTTAAAAAAAAAATCTGGACCGTTTCTAGAAAGTTTCTAGTTTCTAGGTTTCCTGCCAAAATATTCCACTCGCTTTGGCTACTCATAATATCCAATTAAGACAGTATTTTCGAATTTAGATGCCTTAGTAATTTCGTTCCATAGAAGTTTACTATATTCCCTGTCAAGGTTTGAGGCCTGTAAATAATTCCTAAGATTAGCTTTACACGTCGCTGGAGAAACTGAAGCCACATAGATTCAGTATCCGTCGCTTCCACTTTAATATCTTGTCTAATGCAACAGTTTAAATTACCTCTGACACACATCGCCACTCCACCACCCTTCCTGTCGATCCTATCTATGTGGAATAATTTATAGCCTTGTATGTTGCATTCACTAGGCATGTCCTGCCCTGCAAGTTGAAGCAAGTCTCTGTTATTGCAATAATATTCGTGTTGTCTAAACTAAAAAAATCTGGACCGTCTTCTAGAAAGTCTAGTTTCTTTTTCTTGCAAATATTCCAACCTTTATCATAATTCCAATTGATATTTTATTTAACTAGTAATGAACTTCCTAGATATTTTCCTGTATGGTTTTCCTGAAAAAATTCCTTACAGTGAAAAAATAGTTCTTCCTCCTTCCCTTTAATTCTTCCTCTAATGCCAGTTTAATTCCTCCGTGCCACTTCGCTTCCATCCACGTCGTCCTACTTTTTGATTTCTGCCTTGTGTTGCATTCACTGCATGCCTGCTGCTTGACTCTCGTGCAATAGTGTTTCTTGCATTTCCTCTCACGTCGTCCTATGTTGCCCCTTCCTACCCCTTGTTTTTCTTCCTAACGTGCCTATGTTTGGTCTTCCTACATATCTATTTTGTTGCTTCCTCCGTGCCTAGTGTTGCTTCCTCCGTGCCTAGTGTTGCTTCCTCCGTGCCTAGTGTTGCTTCCTCCGTGCCTAGTGTTGCTTCCTCCGTGCCTAGTGTTGCTTCCTCCGTGCCTAGTGTTGCTTCCTTCGTGCCTAGTGTTGCTTCCTCCGTGCCTAGTGTTGC